TAAGATCTTTCTCGTCATGTTAAAAATCATTCTATCACTAAGCTCAGGCCCCTTTTTTACTAATGCTATCAGGGCTTGTTTTCATTACTGTGTTTTTTTCTCCTGATTATTAGTCATATTTTCCTATTTCTGTGCATATTTGCTAATTGTTTTAGTTTGCTGTGTGGTTTGGGGGATAGAACCTAGGCCTTGTTCATGTGAGGCATACACTCCATCACTGAGCCAGGGTCCCCAGAATACATGCCTTCCTGTTGGTGTGTGGGGGTGTGTGTGCACACTTTTGCTTGTCTTTTTTGCTCAAGATTAGTGTTTTATCATTTGAGTCATTCTTCCACTGCAGATTTCTTACTAGCTAATTGGTAAGAATCATTCAGACTTTTTTTTGCCTGGGCTGATTCTGAACTGTGATCCTCAGATTTCAGCCGCTTGAATAATTGGGATTGCAGAACAAGAGTTACTAGCACCTGACTTTGCCTATTGTCTAAAATGCATTCATTTAAAGTGTTTTAAGCATTGTTCAGACATATTAAAGTCTTGTAGAAATCTGGTCCTTTTGTGGCTTATTTTAAATTTTTTTAGAGTACATTTAGATCACCTGTTAGTCTATAGTTATTTTTTTTGGCTACTGAAGGGTATATCAACCCTTCATGTACCACAAAATTTCTTACTCCAACTGGTGAGAACTAGAACTATTTCTGGCTCATATGATCTTAAAGAATTGTGTGACCCGTAGCTTTTTCCTCACACACCCACAGAATAGCATTTGGCCACAGGCCATTTCAAACTTCTGGTGTTTCATTTCTTTGTAGCTCTCTTATCTCCAATACCCTTTCTCACAATTCTAGATGCCTCAGTCTCCTGGAACTTCAAATTCTATCTCTTCAATCCAAAGGGACTGACACATATTGAACTGCAGTTAGAAGACTAACTCCAGTTAAGCAAGAAACTGGGGCAATCATAGGTATCTGAGAACTTTCCTCTCCTCCTCTTAGGGTTCAAAGTCCTGACTGTCTAGTAGACAATGACCTAACCATTTATTTCTATATATTTGCTGGATTTTCTAATGATGAGAGAACAATTTCCATAATGATAATCTTTTGTGGGTAGACACAGAAGTTCTCTATAATGTGTTTTTATATTTATGTGTTTTTATATTTTCTTATCTAGAACCCCAGACATTGACCATATTTATGGGAATTCTTGGCTAAGGATTTTTACACCATGTGGTGTAGAGGCCACATTCATGCCCAACTAACTTGAGATCCATTAATTTTCCCCTAGAACCACCTCCAAGCAGATGGCAAGCTTTTATACAGCCTTTCTGTGTCAGTTGGTAATATTTTTCTAAGTCCATTTTTAAAAACTAGCTGCCCTCTGCACATCCCGCTTTGTAGAGGGATTTTGGTACCAGCTTTACATCTTGAGCAATCTGAGTCCATGTTTCTTGTCCTGGTGAGAATATTAAAACTCAGTTCCTGACCCTTCAGTTTATATCATTGTATTAGGTAGTTGGAATATTCTAGATAATTAAGTTGATAAACAGCTCTGGCTTGAGATTCTAATTTAATATTGACGTTAACATTGACATTAAATGTTTGATTGTGCTGATGTATGCCTGTAAGTCCAGCACTTGGGAGGCTGAGGCAAGAGGATCATGAATTCAAGAACAGCCCAGGCTCTATAAGAAGACCTTATCTTTAAGAAACAAAACAAGGGGCTGGGAAGGTGACTCAGTGGTAGAGCGCTTGCCTTGCATGCATGAGGCCCTGGGTCCGATTCCTCAGCACCACATAAGCAAAAAGAAAAAAGCCGGAAGTGGCGCTGTGGCTCAAGTGGTAGACCGCTAGCCTTGAGCTGAAGAGCTGAGGGACAGCACCCAGGCCCAGAGTTCAGGCCCCATGACCGGACCCCCCCAAAAAAAGAAACAAAACCAAACCCCAAAAACAAAGACACAAAAATGTTTGTGATTTTTACATTGGTCTAATTTATACACATGAGACTATTTAAGAGACTTTTAACATTTCCATATTTATGTTTAATTTAGTTGATAGTTATTTAAATCACTGGGAAGTTTTAAAGTCAAAACTAGTTCATATAACTAATACATTAATATAATTAACTAAAATCAGCCCTAAAATTAGTTTTTTCAATGACTTGGTTTTTAAATAGAAAAATAAAATCATAAAGCTGAACTTAAAGGACTTGGAAAACTTGTGTTTTAAATTTTGTGTCAAATATATTTATTTTATAAAAGTGAAACTTTACTACCATGTTCCAATATGGCCACATTTAGTAGTGCACAGATATATAAATCTTGGGTGCTAAAAAGCACCTTTGGCATCACTTAAATCAATGGCTCTAATTCCAGTTATAGTTTTCCATTTCATAAGAGCTGCTTTTTACCTAAGCTACCATGATGTAGCTAATTGAGTCTGGTAATTATAAAGGCTGAAATTATTCTTAGAAGCATTTGATTGAGAAATGTTATCATGTAGCAACTCTGAATAGAAACACCATTTCTTTCCTTTTTTTTCTGTGTCTTTTTTTTTTTTTTTTTTTGTGAACACACTGTACAGAGGGATTACAATTACATGGGCAGGATAATGCGTACATTTCTTATCAAGCATTGCAGCCTCCTCCTTTGTTTACCCTTCACATCCCTTCCCAGCCTCCCCCCCCCCACCCCCCCACCCAATCCTCCCCGGCTCCCCCCTCCCCCCTGAACCCCCTCCCCCTTGCACCAACGTTGTAAAGCTCGTTGTACTTCTCATTGGTGCAACAGGTCCACCTGTATCCTTAAACGACTTGTTTTTCCCCATCTCCTCTACAAGTTATACTGACATCAAATATAGTGAAAGCAGGGGTTATACTGTGGGAAAGGGACATACAAAGCAACAAAGAGATAATCTTATAAATGCATTAGAAACAAATGCATGAAAGAAAAAAACATTAAAATACATATCTAAGGGTTCATTTTCCTAACATCACATTATCTGACCTTTTCTGCTTGACTCATACATATACTAGATATTGCAAATAAGGGAAACCATGGGACCTATGAGAAACACCATTTCTTTTACCACTGTGTCCCATTAAGTTTTTCTGCTGATGTCAGGGATCTTCATAAGAACATACTCAGCTTCATATGCTTTCCCACAATTTTAGAATTTACAATATACCATTTCAGATTTTGTTTGCACATAATTCCACATCCTTTTTGCTTTTTCCCTATTCTTCATTTTGGTAGGTGGAACTGTAGGATAGGGTGTCAGATTCTGCTCTCATACATGGTTCTCCTGACATTGAGAACTCAGCTGCTGGTGGTACATGGCATGTGCTATTGTTGCTTTTATTTTATTTTATTTAAAACAAAACAGCAAACACTTTTAGGGGCCTACACAATCTCTTGGTATGGGAGACCTGCCACTACTTGATTCTTTTCTCCAGTTGCCACTGCTTCCCACTCAGTGACCCCTTTTTTTCAGATCTCCTTGTACAGACATGGCAATGTTGTGGAGAGAAGGGAAATTTCAGAGTGATTCTGGCCAGTCACTTTCCTCAGGGTTCATCTGACCTCTCAGAAAACTCCTTAACCTGCTGTATTAGTTTTTCTTGTTGCTGTTCCTGTGATGAAATACCTGAAGCTAGATAACTATAAAGAAGAGAAGCTTTTAGGAGCACAGTTTAGAAGTAGAAAGTCCAAGATCTTGCAGCCCCCATTAATTTGATTTTGGTGAGGGAAGTATCATAATGGGAGCTCATGTGGGAACCAGAGATCACTTGGCCAGATAGGAAGTTCGAGAGTAATTCTGGGTTCAGGCAGCAGCCTGCTGCCCTGAGAACTAACTTCAGATCCCATGAGAATGACTGTAATTGCTTCTGAGGGCAATATGCCCTTGATCATGACATGGACTTCCCACAAAGCCTCACATCTTAAAGGTTCTACCACCTCTCATCATGCCACCCCAAAAATCAAGTTTCCAACACAAAAAACTTGGAGTTCTCACTCAGACCAGATCCAACTCAGAGCACATGTCATGGCTAAGAATAAGAACACCACACCCTGTACCTGCCTGACATTCTTGTGTCATGGCAGTCTGTCAGTTAGTCAGGTGAATGGGTTACAGTTTGATTAAAGGCAATGAAAGGAGAAGATGTTTGGAAGACCTCCCAACTGTCTGATCTGTTCCCCACTGCTAGTTTGAACCCCCAAAGTTCATGTGCTGGAAACCTAATCTCCAAAGCAGCAGTGTTGAGAAGTAGGTCATTTAGGAGGTAATCAGGTCTGTATTTGTGGTGTATTGTGGAATGGTTTCAGGAGCTTGGAGTGGGTTCCTGACAAAAGGGTGGGTACATTCCCTTTCTCTATGTGAGTTCATGCTTCTCCTTCTCCTTCTTCCATGGGATGATGCAGCAAGAAGGTCCTGTCCTGATGCTGTCCTCTTAATCTTGGACTTCATAGAACTCTCCAGAACTATAGGAAATTAATCTCTTTTTGTTGTAAATTATCCTCTCAGCCATTCTGCAACAGTAACACAACATAGACTCAGATATTTGGCCTTAGTGTGCATGCGGGGGTCTACATGTGTTTGTGTGTGCACATGTGCACAAATGCTGTTGGGGATGGTGATCCCAAAGCAAGTACTGCTGGAGGTTGTGTCCTGGAAAGCCTGGAAGGGTTCTCTGAACTTAGACAGAGGATACCTCCATGCCCTTTGTTCTTAGCTGTGGGCCCTTAGTTGCCATCTTATCACCCTTAACTGACCTTGAATATCTTAACTAAGAGATTGGCTTAGCTATGTGGGAAAAAAACAATCAAGAGTGATTTCAGACCTCTGGACCTCAGAACTGTCTTTGATTCAGTTTGGGGGATACTGTCTTAACCAAAAGGATGTACATCGTAAGTCATGCTTTAGCAGTGGCAAGCAAGGGACAGCTGTGTCTGCTCACAGCAAGCCAGCGAGAATGAGAGAAACACAGGGGGAGGCAGAGGACAGGTGGGAGACTGTTTATTCATAGTGAAGAGGCAGGCACCAGATCACGAGGCTGCCAGGAGACACGCACCTCACTGTTGTAAAAGCATATCACACTTATGGACATCACAGCTGCCCCTATTTAGTAGAATGCACAACTGTAACCACTGTCCTGGAGAACTTGCTGGAAAAAAAACCCCATTCAGTTCAAACTCTGTCCCACAGCACATTCCTCTGCCCTCTGGCACATCTCTCCAACATGATTTGGCTCTTTTCCTTAAAATCATTTCCTACTGTTTCTACTATTGGTATTTTCTCAACACATAAGTTGTAGATGAAGAAAAACTATGAACATCTTACTAGCTGGTGCTTTAAAAATAGGAATATTTTCCTTCATGCCAGCACAAAATAGAAAGGAGAACTCAATCACAATTTCCTTATCTTCAGCCTCAACCATTCACACAGAACAGCTCAAGTGGTGCTGGTGGCTCAGCCTGGCTCTCCTAACACCTGCCCAGTCTCCATTCACTTAGACTTCATGTTGCCTTTCTGGGGCTCAGCTGCGGCCTTCCTGGCCTCCTCCTCCGGGATGAACACACTGACAGTGAAGTCGCTGGTCTCCGAGCCATACTTATTCTTCACCACCAGTCCGTATTTGCCCGAGTCAGCAGTGCTCACGCCTGAGATGGTGAAGAACGCTGTCTTCCCAGACTCGAACCTGAGGTTGCAGTGGTCATCTGAGACCAGTGGCTTCTCATTCTTCAGCCAGGACACCTCTGGGGCAGGGTCTCCCCACACGGTGCATGTGAGATTGAGAGCCTGCAAGACAGGATTTATAGAGGGAGAGCTCTAAATCAGACACAATAATCTGACTTCACTAGTCTTGCTGGTTGGCTGAAATGGTGACCTTTTGAGAAGGTAAATATAAACCTCCCTGATCTGGGCTTAAGGTAGTTCCTTATCTGTACCTATGAGAAGTACATTTTGAAGTAATATGTGAGGAGATTTCTTAGGGCCAGGGCTTTGAGTGTTTAGAATGCCTGTCATCAAAACACATGCAGGAGTTCTGTTTGCAGGCCTTCTTCATAAACAGAGATGCCTTTGGCTCAGTGTGGGCTCTGGGCTGCCTCAATGAAGAAGTCTCCTCATTGGCATAATCACCACCTGTTCACTTTGCATCTCATTTGTATCACAGAGCCCAGCAGTGGAATGGAACAGCTGCTCCAGAACATGTAACTAATTTTCATCCTTTGCATTTTACTTGGCTCCTAGAACCCCATCCAAGCTGTACAGTTGCAGTCAGGCTCTGCCAAACATATACGAAATGAAAGAGCTCTGTCTGTGCTGAAGTCCACTGACTCTAGAACTATTTATAATTAGGCTATGGATTTACTTTGTCTTACTTGTAACTATAAATTCTCATGCAGTTGTAAGAAGTAATAGCAACCCTACGTACCTCGTATCCACCTTGCCCCAATTTTACAAAACAATCATTCACCATCCTAAGCAGCACATGGACACAGATACAGATTTCCAAGCTGGGGTTGGCCTTTTTTCTGGGTTACTTTGCTCCTAATTCCTGGCAATCACTGATCTGTTTTCCATTTTAAAAAATTGAGTCATTTCAAAAAGTTATACCAATAGAGTCTTCAATATGTAACCCAGAATTGCCTTTTGTTCTCAGGTTCCATGCAGATCCACCCACACTGTTTATTATATCCATAGTCTGGTCCTTTTTTTGCTGAGTAGTATGACTATGCCATGGTTGGGACATATTTGCTTCAATGTTTCAAGTTTGGGTCGTTATAAATAAAGTTGCTATAAACATTTTCACATCTTGTGCGAATGTAAGTTTTTATTTCTCTAGGATAAATGCCTGGTCGTGCAATTGCTGGGTGGAATGGTAAATGGTTGATTCATATTTTCCTCCAGAAATTCCCAAATTGTTTTTCTAAGAAGCTATATAATTTTGGTTTATCTTTCCATCAACCATGTACAAGTGATTCAGTGTCTCCATCCCCTCCACACTTGAAACAAACCCAGGGCTTTGCATATGCTAAGGAAATACTCTACCACTGAGCTACATCCCCAGCCCTCATTTCTCTACATCTTTTCCAGGATTTGTTGTTGTGCTCCATTTCTTTTATTATAACAATTCTGGTAGCTGTGACATGATATTGTATCATGGTTTTTCGCTTCCCTAATAGTTAATTATATTAAATTTATGACACATGTTAAATTCTATTCCTGTGTTTGCTTCTTACTAATATTCAGAAGTTAAAAGGAAATAGCTAGACACCTAAGGCAAGGAAAGGAGTAGCATCTCCTGTAGTCACTTGCTACCTACTTTGTAGGGGTAAAATTGGATAAATTAAAGTATCTGTTTGCATCCTATCGTGACTTGGCATTTCTTTTCCGATAGGGTTGGAGGCATTGAAGTTTGAACTCATGCCCTGTGCTTTCACTTGATTTTTCATTCACGTCTGACACTCTACCACTTGAACCACAGCTCTACTTCTGGCATTTTGGTAGTTAACTGAATATGAGATTCTCGTGGACTTTCCTGTCCAGGCTGGCTTTGAACACAGATCCTCAGATCTCAGCCTCCTGAGTATCTAGGATTGAGCCACCCAGCTCTGACTGTGTTTGTAACCCTGTGTTTGGTAAGGAAGCCATGGAATAAGATGGATGGTGGGGCATATTATCAGGTGTTGGGACGTGTTCCAGAGTGTAGAAGCTGTAGAGGAATATTCCTTACTCACCTTGCCCTCCTGGATGGTGACCACATCAGGCAGCCCGCCCAACACCCGGGCACGATCTGCAGATACAAACATTCTTAGTTAATCTCTGCAGTGACGAGGGCCAGCAATCATGCTCACAAGACCATCCCAAGGTATAAATTTCCCAATTTAGATTTTCATCTCCTGACAGTCATTTCATACTGTTTTCAATATGCCAAATCAGAAAATGATCTGGTTATGCTGGACTTTAATCCTTCTATGCCCACATATTGTGTATGTGTGCAGGACCCGTAGCTGTACTTAAATTACCACCTTGGGATTGCATAGTCACGTGAAAGCGTGCTCTACAATTTTCACGGCTATTTTCAGCCCTGTCCTTTCTGCAGCTGAGAGGGGCTCAGCTGATGACAGCAGGATACATCTCAATGGATAGCTTCTAAGCTGAGTGTGACCCCTTTCTGGGTTTCCTTATGGCAAACACTGGCTCCATAATAGGAAGGTTGTATGCTGGATGTTCTGGAGGCTTGTGCAGATAAAGCCTTTCCCAGAGAGCATCCATATTTTTTCTCCTACTAATTCTTGGCAGTGCTGTGCAGGCCGTGGTTCTGACTGTGGATAAAGGCTTCCAGATGAGAGGATAAGGTACAGGATGGGTGCTGAACTCCTAGATTGCTTCCTCAGTCAAGCCACATGTTCTGGGTGCAGCTAGCTCCTGGGGAAGGCACCTTTCTGAGGTACTCTCCACACAACTTCCTCTTTACCACTAACATAGCCACCAGCCTTGCATTTTTAGGCCTACCTCATGACTTTTGATGTTCGTTTCTACAAATCCCTTTTCCACTGAGTCTGGTAAAGCTTTGAGTGAGATGACTTCATTCTCCTGGGGGCTCCATTACACCACTTATAAGTCTGGCTCATCCCTGGTTCTCTGTGTGACTTGCTGTGTGATATTACAGCAGTCACTTGCTGGGTGGGCTATAGTCTCCTGGTTGTAGAATGTACAGGGCTATATTTGTCTTAGACCTGTGACATTACATTTGCAAACCTGCACCACAGTGTCTGTGGGATTTGTCAGGGCAGCCCGAGAGGCAGTGGGGAAGGGGAGACAGAGATAAGAGCTGGAGCCTCATCTCAGCTTTAACAGAAGTTGCTCAGCATTACCTACTTTGTACATTGACTCCATTTGGAAGACTCTATTTGAAGTAACTGTTGTATGGCTCGTAAGTGTATGAAATCTCAGGTCTCCTCTGGTTCTAATGACCTAGAGGGTCAGATTTCTTGTTCTCAGAGGAGCTCAAGCACCAGGAGAGGCAGGAAACTGCTCATGGGTGTGGGCTTTGCTCAGTGTGTCTATGGTGGGTGGGGGGCATCCTGCCTACCAGACAAGAAAGGAAGCCCCTCCTGCTCTGGCCCTCCTTGGTCATGCTTCCATACCCAAATGTGTCTCACACATGCAGGGCCTGGCCAGGAAAGGAAAGGGAAGAGGTGGAGGCCAATATAGGGAAGGCTTCAAATTCCTACTTTGGAGGACTGGAGCAACTGTGGAAGAGGAAGATCATTTTCCTCCCACTCCTCCTCTACTTCTCCTGGTCCTCTCTCCCATCTTCACTTAAGCTCAGGATCCCCTTGACCATATCAACCCTTGGCCATTTTTCAATTCCATCTCCTACACTGAAGAAGCCCAGTTAGTATGGTGGGTGAGTCAGGGACTCCTGGGGTCCTTACAGGGCAATAGGAGTTCTGAAAGTATGTATGCAACGAGAGCAAGCTGACAGATGTGTAGCAGACTCTTGTTTCTGAGCCTGCAAGACTGGCCAGGTGGGTGTGTTCTAAGAAAGGAATTCCTAGTCCCAGGGACTCTCAGGAAAATGCACAGTGCTGATTGGGAACAAGCTACATGACTGCCTAACTGATGTCAGACTGACAAATGTTTCTTAATGTTTCTTTTCTTTCAGGAATACACTTTTATCTGACACATTATGTCTTCAAGTCACTATCAATCTATTGTGTGATTTGCAAGTAAGAGCTTTTCTCAGGCTGTCTGGGTAGCTGAAGTAGGAGCTTGGTGACATTCTGACCATGTAACCTGAGACCTTCTTTCCACAGACATTCTTGAAAGACTAAAATGAAAACATATGTACACCACCTAAGATTTCAAAAAGAAAAGAAATGGGAAAGAAAGAACCCCCTTTCATGTTCCTCCATCTGTAATTACAACAGCCAAGCAAAATTCTGTTGAATTTGCATCAGAGTGTGTGAATGAAGGTGGCTTTACTTACTTTTCTCGGCAATGGCAGCTTGTCTGTGGATGAGAGAGACAAACAAACACACAAAGAAGAGTTTTGTTTTAGAGTTACTTCCAAGTAGCTGACCTTGGCTGCATTTCACTGCTGCTGAGACGCTTGGCAGCTCAACGTAACAGCTGTAAGCGGGGCTTTTCCTGAACTTGCTGAGACAAAAGACTCTTTCTAGCTAACACTTAGGTGGGTCAGCAGCCACCAGCTTCCGGGGATATTATTGCACAGAATGGGTGCTGGACAGGAAGGGAACTTACTTTAACCTCTGGAATTCGGCAAATGCTTCATCAAATGCTTTAAGAAAAAGAAGAAGAAAAAAAATTAAGCCTGTTTCCCCTTTTCAGAATTAGTGTGTGTTAATTATACAACGTGATGACTTTCATTGTGATATTTCTGTATATGTGTGTATAATAAACTTTGATCATATTAACCCCTCTCATTAGTATTATTATTATGTCATTGTACAAAGAGGTTTCAATTCCATAAATCAGGTTATAAGTTCAATGCATCTTGATGAATGTGACCTTTTCCATCTTTCTCCCCATCTCTCCCAAGCCCATCCTCCTCCCCGTCCCTTACAAGTATCTTGCTTGTAATTTTTATTTAATGAGCTTCATTATACCTTTTACATACATGCACATACTTGGATCAGTGCAGTGCTCCTCCTGATAAAGTACTGGGACTAAAATTCACTAGGCCATGCCATTGTGATCAGTCCAGATCTAACCATGGCAACTTAGAATAAGGCTGCCTGTGTGTTCACTCTCTATATAAATCAGTATACCCAACAAAACCAGCAAATTCTTTCTAGGCAGAAGATATAAAATAAAAAATTTTAGAAGCTTTCATCTCAGTGAGAGACCTTCAACCCTTTAAGCAGAAAGGCAATGGTATTAGCTCAGCTCCATCCAAGGGACAAAAATAGAAACAAAGGTCTGCTTCAAGTAAAAGTGGTTGTCTACTAAGCTTCCTGAGCATCAAAAAGCTTTCTTTTATTAAATTATCCCAATGTCATAAGTTGCTGGCTAGCTAGACAGTTTAAATGTCTTTATGTTAGGGTTTCTGGTCTGAGTCTTTAAGCAAAGTAAGTTACAGTCATCACAGTGTGTGCCAAAGCTCACTTAAAGCAATATTTCTTATGCTACCATGAATGGAGTTAAAAGACTGGGAAGAGAAGGCAACAAGAACTACAGTGTTCTAAAATAAAACTGCGTTTGCAGAGTCTGCCCTTTGATGAAAAACTTTAGGCAAAGAACAGCTTTGTTTTGAAATCTTTACCTCAGCTTTTCAGCTCTCTATGGTTTAAGAATCACACTACCTTAAGTCTAGAGAATTCTTAAGATAATGTTAGTCTAGCACCAGCCATTTCATGGATGGAAAAAGTAAGTATAAAGTCAAGGTTCAAATTGCTAGGTTGTACCTTTTCTCATGTGTAAAATGATTGAAAGACTACGTAGGCTTACCAGGCAGAAAGATAGGCCTTGTCCTGATCCCTACCAATACTTGGGGGTCTGGGAGGGTTGTGTGCTCAAGACTCTCTGTTTGGTGTCAGTCAATAGTCAGACAATCCACAGCATTTGGCTTAAGAGAGATTCCAGAGTATGGTAGCTACATATACTTTGATGAATCAGAGAATAGAATATTCTGTGTGTGTTTGGGTATGTGTGTGTGTGTGTGTGTGTGTGTGTGTGTGTGTGTGTGTGTGTGTGTGTGTGTGTGTGTGTGTGTGAGACAGAGAGAGAGAGAGAGAGAGTGAGAGAGAGAGATAGAGAGAGAGAGAGAGAGAGAGAGAGTTGTGGGGTTTGAACTCAGGGCCTGGGCACTGTCCCTGAGCCTCTTTGAGCTCAAGGCTAGCACTCTACCACTTAAGCCACATCACCATTTCTAGCTTTTGAGTGGTTAATTGGAGATAAGAGTCTCATGGGGACTTTTCTCCCCAGGCCAGCTTCAAACCACAATCCTCAAATTTCAGCCTCCTGAGTAGCTAGGATTAAAGGCGTGAGCCACCAGTGCCCAGCAGAATACTTTATTTTTTAAGTTTTAAGTGTATCTACTCACACATTGCTTTCCCCTTTCCCATTTTGTTTTCAATAGTCAGATAAACTGCAGAGGAAACCTTCTATCAGGTATGTTTTCAAAGTGGGCTAAGCATAGGCCAGAAAGTCCATGTTCAATGTCAGGAGCAACCATTCCTATTCCTTCAATGCTCTCAGTGATGCTTCACAGGCAAAATGGGTGTGGTGAGAAGAGGATTTGACACACACACATACAAGAAAGGGGTGGGGGGAGCTTCAATGCAGACTTGAAAAGCTGCTCTCGAAATCAAACTTTCAGCTCTCCGAGGATGAAAACCAGGAAGAGCTATGACACATTTAGGTTGTACTTGAATACCCAGAGAAATGTGTATAGCTCATTTCTTTAGGAAGGAACAGCAGGAAGAATGTAATACCAGGAGGGAGAAAATGACAGCATTTTCATCTTTTTACTGATAATTGTGTATCTTTGAAATCTGCTCTTTGGAAATCTTGAAATTGGTATGCATCTGTCATTACTTTCTTCTCTTTACCCTACTTTTTTCTCTCCAGACCCTCTATTCTCTTAGCAGATGACAAGAAAACAGGTAACCATAAGGACACAGGCTGATCAACTTCCTTTTCTTCTCATCTGTATGTATTTGTCTCTGCTTCTTCCTACTCATTCTCTTCTAATTTTGCAGAGGCTGACACTTGTCCCTCTACCCTTGGTAAGGCAGTCCTTCTAAGGAAACTGGTTCATTGGGCACTTTGCTCAGAGGAAAATTGCCATAAACAATTGCTTTTCACTGTCTGTTCTTACAGAAGAGATTGTGAGTCAATTTGCCTGGCTTTGTGAGCATCATCCTGTAAAATCTGTGCTTTCTTTCTACCTTTACCATCTCCACCTTCCTTTCCACTGATTGTCCACCCATTGGATGCTTTTTCCTCTCACCTTGACTGATTAAAACTGCTTTATCAAAGTCATTGTGAATACAATCCATGAAAGGCTATTGTTCTAGACTGGGGCCTGTACTAGGCCCCAACAGACCAGATAAAAGCAGAATGAAGCCATTAATGCCATTTGCCACAATGCCACTTGCCACGTAATCAAGCTGAACTTAAAAACAGGGCAGTTAAAAAAAAATGAGTCACAGTAACCAAGCAGAATAGGTTTAGTCATCCAAAGATTGCTAAGGAATCTCCCTATGAGAACAGCTTGAAGAAATCTGATGTGAATTAACCTGATTTTTTTTTTTTGCATGACATAGTTTCCTTGATCCTGCTCATGCTGCTTTACAAAATCCAAATGTTTTTCCATAGCCAAGGGAGTATCTTTCTGCTTTCTAAATGGGATGCTGCCTATTCACAATTCTCTAGTAAAATCAATTAGGCTCTGAAACTTAGTTTGTTGAACTTCTGCTCCTTAATATTACCAATATCATCATTCTTTTGATATCATCAAAGTACTGGTTTTTTTTCATCTTTAATGGTATTGCTTTACTGCTACACTGAAATATGAACTCCAGTGTTTGCTGGATTTACTTGTTCTGCTAGCACTCTACCACTTTAGTCATGCCTCTAGCCCAGCTTTTTGCTGGTTAATTGTAGATAAAGTCTTTCAGACTTTTCTTCTCAGGCTGGCTTGAAACCATGACTCTAAGATATCAGCCTTTTGAGTGGCTAGAATAAAAGGCATGACCTACCAGCACTCATTAATTTTTTTCTCTCATTCTTTTTCAAAGACTTATTCTTCTATAGTAAATTTGAACATGCAGAATATCTGTGCTTACCTTGTCCAGAAAGATCCACTGTTTTCTGGTGCCCAGTTTTGCCATCAAAGAGCTCCATTATATATTTCCCTTTATCATTTGGAGTGGGCTCATTGATCTGTAGCCAGATCTGCTCCCCAGTGACCCCACTTTTAACCCTGTCTGTGAACTTAATATCAGTCCCACTGTTAAAATGAAAGAAAGCATTGTTACTGTTTGTTTTCATGTAGAGACGATATTTTTTCTGTCTCTCATTAAAGGTCATACTATAAACTACTATAGGCATTCAAAAAGCATAACTTCTCTGGGCATTTTTACTAATTACATGATAATTTATATACATATATATTAGCCTTAGGACTTTCATGTGTATCTTTAACTCTGTATCAAAACTTGGGGTAACTCATAATTATTTTTCAAAATTGAAGCATTGAACTGCAATTAATAAACAGGAAAATTCTTCTGTTTCAGAGAAAATATGGGCCTTGAAACATAGCAGCTGGATTCCAAGACCTTGGGTCTGATAGTCTCAACACTTATTTTGTTTCTTGTAAGAGGCTATGGCCCCAGGCAAACTACAACACTAATTGGTGAAGTTAATTACCTTTGCTTTTGCTTTAGGGTTAAGGAAATCTTTATAGCTGAAAGGCTAAACTATATACTATTTGGCTGCATATTTTACAGAGATGAGCTATTTTTAACTGGATTTTGTAAGCTGGTCAAAAGCACACTTAGGGGGGCTCATCTGTGCCTGACATCTCTTGACGTATGTTGTTTCAAAGCTATTTTAAAATGTATGCTAATATGTACTCAAAAGTAGAGCCAAACGAGAAAGAAAAGCAGAGTGGCTGCCAAAAGGAATGGGGCATGTGCTCTGCCCCTGGTTGTGATTTTCCATATTCTACAGTAGGTCATGAACAGACACATGAGCTGTGTTCTCTGTTAGATAACAAAAGGAAATACATCTCTTGCTATGGTTAATCTGACTAAATGATACTGTAACATGAAGTAAGAAAAAGGCAGGTAGTTATGCTCTCATGCTGCTAAAAGGAACTTCATGAAGAGTTTATAAAGATGTGAAGACATAAGAAAAAGTACAGTATACAAAAACAGAGAAAAGATTGAGAAGAAGTACCAAAAATGCTCACAGAATGGCTACCAATACTATGGATGGTGTCATATTATGAATTCCTTCTACTTCATAATGTAACATCATAAGCGTTATATTAAACAAGCACATTCCAAGTTTACTATTGGAATGTAATTCCAAAGATGCACTTTGAAAAACAAAATTTTTCACTGAAAAGCATTAGCTTTTATGCAAATATTTATATCATTTCATTCTTTGAAGAATATTTCTTCATCTAACTGACAAAGTTTAAAACTTAAAATGCTATAAGATGTTGGATAAAAACAAACCCATTTGTACTCCACAGACTTCAGCATGAACATACATGGCTTAGAGAGTTGACAGAAAGACTGTTCTCTGCTTTGTAATAATGAATACATTGAGTTATTTAATATCCAACAAGCATTCATAATGACAATATACCTATATTAAATGCTTCAAACAGCATGTTAATATTTTATATAAAGGAAAGTTGGGAATCATAAAATTATATGACTTGCTAAGATTGCAAGTAAACTCAAGACCAACAAGTTTCTTTCTTCTTATCCTTCCCCTTCCCCTTCCCCTCCCCCTCCCCCTCCCTCTCCCTCCCTCCTCCCTCCCCTTCTTCCTCCTCCTCCTCCTCTTCTTCTTCCTCTTCCTCTTCTTCTTCTTCTTCCTCTTCTTCCTCTTCCTCTTCCTCTTCCTCTCCTTCTCCTTCTCCTTCTCCTTCTCCTTCTCCTTCTCCTTCTCCTTCTCCTTCTCCTTCTTCTTCTTCTTCTTCTTCTTTTCTTCTTCCTCTTTTGCTCAGCCTTAGGTTCTTGAACTCTGGGCCTGGGTACTGTCCTGAGCTCTTCAACTCAAGGCTCAAGACTAGTGCTCTGCCACTTGAGCCACAGTGACACTTCTGGTTTTCTGGTGGTTAATTGGAGATGGGAGTATCACGGACTTTCCTGCCCACACTGGCTTTGAACTGCAATCCTCAGATCTCAGCCTCCTGAGTAGCTAGGATTACAGGTGTGAGCCACGGGTCCCCAGCAAGACCAAGTTTCTTTATCATTATGCCACATCCTTGAATCCTAAGTCATTCATAGGCTCAAAAATTCATGAAAAACTCACATAGCTCAGAAGATCAGTGTTGAGAAGTTCATGTCTTACTAGTCTAATAGTCATTTTTAAGACATATCACCAATGTTCTCAATTTTTAACTAATTCTTTTAGAGTACATAATAGATTAATGGTTCAACTAATTTTCCTTCTCTCATTCTTCAGAAGGATAAATTAGAATGTTCTGAATGTCACAGAGGAATTTCCTAGAATTTCATTTATTTTATAATTATTTTCCTTAAATATGTTCTGAAAGAAACAGAACAAAAGAATGAAACCCCAAGCATTCCATACCAGAATTTTATCACTTCACATTTTCTGAACACAGGAAATGATGAATACTAGTAACAAAACACTATTCAACATACAAGTAAAGGCATTTTAAGGAAAACACAATGGCTGCTTTGTGTGGCTAACTACTCAAACTAGACTGTGTGTGTGTGTGTGTGTGTGTGCGTGTGTGAGTGTATATGTTGTTGGTGATTGACCCCAGGGCTTTGTTCATGCTGGATATGTGCACTACCATTGCTCTACCACCAGTCCTAGACTGTTTTTTAAAATTAATTTTTAACAGATACAGTAACATTGTATATATTAATGGGCAACATGTTTTTTGTTTTGAGGCAGTCTTACTATATAGTCTATAATACTATATACAGTTTATATTGTATATAATATATATACATAGAATATATATATATATACTATCCATGTACATAGTATATATATTATATACAATATATGTATATAGTATATATATAGAATATACAATATATATGTATATATGTATATAATATATATACTATATGTATATGTGCTATATATATATATATATATATATATATATATATATAGATCTAGAATATGAGATCCTCCTTCCTCAGCCTACTAAATGTTGGGATAACAGTAATATAACACAATATAAGATATTAAAACATATAAAGTATTATGGGGTTAAACATATCTGTCTTCTTCAGCACATTTCTTTCTTTTTTGTTAGTACCAGGGCTTGAACTCAGGGGCCTAGTACTCATTCAGCTAGCTTAGTCACAGCTAGCAGTCTACCATCTAAACTGTGTCTCTGGTCCAGCGTTTTGCTAGAGTCTCCTATTTAGCCTCCTGAATATCTAGGATTACAGATGTGAGCCACAGACACCTCGTTTGTCATTTCTTCATTGTGAAAACTTTTAAAAACTTTTCCTTTAGCTCTTTAAAATGTATATTACTGTTATCGCTTCTCACTCTTCTCTGTAGTAGCTCACCAGAATTTGAATTTATCTAATTGCCAGCTAACACCTTTTGAGCAACCTCTCCCCATCCTTCCCTTCACTTCATTCTAGCATTGTCTTGCGACTTGAATGGAATGTGTGTGTCATGATGAGCTGGATCTGTAGTGAGTTTTCCTGGACACTGCTCTCAACCCACATCTTAGTTGCGTGACCTTGGTTATGTCATTTCCCTGAGCTTAAGCCTTCTCAGCACTAGGATAAGAAGTACCTATTGCAAAGAGCTGACACTATGGAATAATTCGTAGACCTAAGGACTTGGGGCAGTGACCAACATATGGTCCATGCCTACTGAAGGAAGGAACAATGTAATAAACTGCTATCTGTATCCTCCTGGGGATGTTACAGGCCTCTCTATTCAGTGGTGCTCTGAAGCATGGTTTTTAGTTTCTTCTCTCTTATAGTTCAGATGACTCTAGGAAGCCAGGAGACAGGGATTGTGAGGATTGGGAAAGAAAGGACTGGTCTGGTTTAGAAACTTATTTTCTCTTGGGATCCTAGACTTAAAGCTGAATGTGATCCCTCTATAAATTCACAAAATAGATCTTCAGGCTCAAACACATATCCAGTTCAAACACATATCCTCGAAGTCATTCTGAGATCTTGAAAGTCTCCAGGGGTAGACAAGAGAGAAACATGCTAATGCCCAGAAGTGAGGCTGGAGATCCATGTAGATGAGGCTTTTTTGGTAAAAGTCCATTAGTTCATGAAACAGGAAATGTGGTACCTCTTGGTGCACACATCTTCAATTTTGTTTGAGACCACAGCACATGTTAACTACATACAGAATAGGAGGACTGAGAATGTACCTCTGGAGGCCAGGCAAAATACACAGCTCCTGTACAACTATCTAGAGACCATCAGTGAAGCCTCCATTACAGAGATGTCTGTGAACTGTGACACTTAGATTATGAAGGAAGAAGTGATCAAAGGGAAAGAGGGAAAGAGCCAACTTCGCAATAAGGGGATAGCCTGGTATTTCTGTCCTATGATCCTCAATATTAATCTGAGAATTAATAACACTCAGTTTTTCTTCCTCTACTTCCCAGTGAAGAAATAATTCCCACACAGCAAGTAAGTTTTCATTTACTTACTTGTGGGACCAGTTCACTTTCAAATCATCCAGGTAGTAAGTAACAAAAGAGTATAGTCGGATGCCCTCAGCTGTGCTTTGGATTTTCAGATCAGTAGCAGACAAAGCTGAAAGATGAAAACAATATATTTCATGTAGGTGTAATATATCTGGGCAGGAGAATGATGAAGCATTGCTGAGTTAAGGAAATTAAGACTTACCTATTTTCCGGCATACTTCAGTCATCAGTTCTTTGAAGGCTGTGGATAGAGTTTCATAAAGAAACTTTAACATGAACTTGCTCAATGTAAGGTCAGATCTCAAACTATTAGCTGTCAAAAGGTTATGACTAGCTACACATTGGTGCCTCACACCCAAGCTAACTCAGGAGGATTATATCTGAGGATTCCAGTTTGAAGCCAACTCTGGCAGAAAAATCCAAGAGACTCCTATCTTATCTCCAATCAATGAATAGCTAGTTAGCAAAAAGAAAAAACAAAACAACCCCCCCCCAAACAAACAGAAGTGGAGGTATACTTCAAGTGAAAAAGTGCCATTCTTGAGCAAAAAAGCCAAGAGAGAGTGCGAGACCTGAGTACAAACTTCATTACTGGTACACACACATACACACACACACACACACACACACACACACACACACACACACACACACACACACACACACACACAGTCATACCTAGTGAAGGGCATTGGACACAAAGTGAATTTATTGATCAATTATAATTAGTACCCTTTAAAGAAATGACTCAGAGAGCTTCTTTGTACAGCTACTTAAAGATAATAAAAAATGTTAAAAAGAAATGACTCAATTTTATGATTTAAAAAAACACCTGCTTATTTTGATATATTTCCCTCTAATTCTTCATAATTATCAACAGCATATTTACATTCTAAGGAAAGAGCTACAGTCAGTTCCAAGAATGTTCTTGGCTTCAGAATTCTCTTTCTTTTTAAGTCCCAGGAAACCTTAGTTCACATTTCAGGAAGTATTCTTATCTATGTCATCAATGCTTAAAATTAACCATCTAGGCCACCTGGCTTTTCTCAGCTTAATAATACTTTTTGCCTCTACCAAGAGTAGGAAGGTAAAAACCAAAGTCAGTCTTTTCTGTTTGTTAGCAATACTGTTAAAAGTTCTTGTTAAGGAACAAAGTTAAAACTCCAATGGGAGACAGTAGGTTTCCATAATCATTATATATTTGTTTTTAACATCTTATGAAAAATGTCTTGCTTTGCTAATAACTGCAAGGCTTCAAATTTCATATAAAAATCTTTCCTGTCACCTTTAGCAATGGACTATTTTTCAACATGTTCCTGACAGAAGTTTTTGATCCTGGAACTTTATTTTGTAGAGTTGAACAAAACTGATTATTTAAATTGAAAACAGACAGCTGGTAGACTGTAGATTGTAAATTCTCTGAAGATCAAAAGTATACTTTTGATTTGGAGGCAGAGAAAAAGTGGAATGTTTTTGAGTAAGGCAGTAGTTCACTCTGCTGGAATTTCAATTAAACCAAAATCTGGGGACAAAGAAAGATCAGCATGCCTCCAACTGTCAGTCCAGCCCCAATCATTATCCTAGTAATATATACTCAGGCCCTCAGATATAGATCCTAACAGTTGGTTGACTGACCTTCATCTACAAGTTTCAATCTGCTCTTATCTTTTCCTCTGTCATCTTTCAGGATAACTTCATAAAAACCAGCATCTTTCTTGGAAAACTAGGAGGAGATTAAATATGCCATATTTCAGCTTATTATTGTTCAGAGTTTGGTGTTTACATTTTTAAGGTGCTTGATTAATGAGCTGCAATGAAAACATACATTGAACAAGCATATAGCCATGCAAATAACAAACAGCTAATAAATGCCTTCCTCCATAATAATTTTCCCAGTTAGTGATCCTGCTTTTTTTCTTTCACTATTTAAGGCTATAATTAATTTGAGCCCAAGGTCTTTAAATATTTTGTTCTGGCTTCACTTAAAAAATAATCATTGTCAGGTGCTGATGGTTCACATCTCTAGCTATTCAGCATCCTGAGATCTGGTTCACTATTGGACATGTATACATTATCACACAGTGAAAAAGCATTTTTGTTCCTGGGCATGAAACAAATATGGAATGTAGTTTCTGTTTGGAGGAGAATGTAGGGCACAGAGCTAACATTTTGCATTCATGACCACCTACCTCTGTTATCAGCAGGGTGCAGATGCCATCCTTAAAGTCATGCTTTTCATCCACTGATATTTCCCTCTCATCTTTATACCAAACAATATGTGTTTCCTTCTTAATATTTGCCACCTGGAAGAAGAACCATAATTACTTTCCTCTAAATAAGGAGACATTGCTTTTATGAAATACAATAGTTGTTGGCACAGCAAGGGAGAAGACACCGATTTCTACAGAAATTAATGAAAAATTATTTTAATAAAGAAAAAGATTATAATAAAGTAGATGCCAATGAGCAAACCTAAGTTAATTGCATCTCATTTCCAGCAGTAAAGACTGACTTGCCTCCAGACTTCCATGATGAACACAGTAATGGTACACTAGCTGGTGGAGCACTCTGTGCTGTGTGCGAATGGACAGCAACCCAAACTGAAATAGAATGGAGCTTGTCGCCTGCTGGCAAAGTCACCCCGAAGGACTGGAGAGATCAGTAGTCACTCAGCTGGTGTAATACCAAATTATTTCAAAACCAACTCATAATTGAGGCCAAGTAAAAGTACCATGCACCAATTAAAATATGACACATTGATGAGATGAAGTCCATTTGGAATCTTAAAAAAATGTCACTTAATAAGCTGGGCATGATGACAGGAAACTGGGGCCCCAGCATTCGGAAGGCAGGAGGTGGGAGGATCCTTTAAGTACGGAAGTTCATGAATGCCTGGGCAACACGGCGAAGTCAACATTTAAAAATAGTGAAGGGCTGGGAAGGTGGCTCAGTGGTAGAGCGCTTGCCTTGCATGCCAGAGGCCCTGGGTTTGATTCCTCAGCATCACATAAGCAAAAAGAAAAAAGCCGAAAGTGGTGCTGTGGCTCAAGTGGTAGAGCGCTAGCCTTGAGCTGAAGAGCTGAGGGACAGCGCCCAGGCCCAGAGTTCAGGCCCCACACCCGGACCCCCCCCCCCAAAATAAATAATAAAAACAGTGGAAAAGAATAGATACTATCATGCACACTTAAATGAAAATAAGAATCTCAAAACCAAAGACAAATTCCATCACTTTAAAATAGTCTATGGTACAATAAACAATGGCTTTATTAAATGAATAGACTGAATAAGTCCCAATTTATACCTAAGAAATTAATAAAATGTAAATGGAGCTTTATAGATATATGTACAGGGAAAGTATGGTTTAATACATTGATTATTTAGCAGTTTAGAGAAGACCCATTTAGGTCCTGCTATACATATCATTATCAAATAAATTTCAAATAGACTAAACTATCTCATACGGTTAAAGAGATTCCAAGCTTTATCTATGATGGTTGATTTTTTTTTACAAAGGAAAACATATTTGTTGTAAAGTTAAACTTTCACATAAGATTTCATATAAATGGAGAAAACAACTCTAAGGACCCCCCCCCCCCCCCACACACACACACACTGATTATGTGGTAAAATGTAGGTACTGTTCCTCACGGAGGAAAAACAAATAGATGAAGTAAATGTTTGGTCTCAGTATAAACAAGCACATGCATATTTTACAATATTAAAATATTCATTTACTAAGTGAACATAAGAACCAATATTGGTAATTGTCATCAAACCTGCATATACAATGACTCCTGATATGTGGAATCACACTCTGATACCAGGTGACATTGCTTTTATGATAAAAACAAAAATGACTGGCTGAAAAACTGCATATGGTCTGGGAAGGACAAGAAAGGCTCTGGCTTCTCTGAGCCCAGCAAGTCTGTAATTAAGGACAAATCCCTTGCAAGGATCCTGGATGCTGGCACGCTAAGGGTGTTGTCACAGGGGTGCTGGGTCCTCTAAGCCAGGAGATCTTCAAGCTATGGCATCTCCTGCACCTGCCCAGTGGAGTGCTGTCCTCTTGCCCCTAGGCTGTCATGGGGGTGGAGGGTGGGAGGACAGAGGGAAAACTTCCCATGTGGACTCCTGCAAAGAAGGAATTCCAGAATTTCCTTGCCCTATTCAGTCCTTTTCAGTAGACCAGTGTCAACTGGGGTTGGTGAAAATTTCAGGAGTCTGAACATTTAGCTGCACATACTCCATCACCCACAATGCAATAGTCAATTGCTGAATTTACATAAATTGCTATAAGAATGCTATCAAGAGGATGCTATCAAGAGGATGTTTACAGAGATGATCGGTCTGGGTTTTGAGAAATTTTCTGGAGAACCTGAAAGAAGGCTATTCTAGGCCTTGGAACAGCAACATTAATAAGGGAAATGTGGATATTTGTAACCTATTTCAAGGCAATCTTGATTGTTCAGAATCTGGGGTAGGGCCTGATTCTTCTGAGGAAAACCTCTTCTTAGGACACCAGCACTCCCATCCCAGGGCAAAAGGTAGCACAGAGGAGGAGGTAGGTGGTTTGTAGGGGGTTTGAGGGGGTATGAGTGGGAAAGGATGCAAGGACTAGAAAGTATGTAGGAAAGTATGGCAATGGGCAGCCAAGATGACAGAGAGAGAGAGGGGGGAGGGGGTTAGCTGTTGCCTGATAAAGGGCTTTCATAAGAGTCTGAAACCTAAAATTGATTTTTCTTTTATTTTCTGCTGAGCTACCGTTTCTTCAAATTTATCAGACTTAATAGAGACTGGGGCATTTGGGCTCTGGCTTTTATACTTCAATTGTCTGCCAAATATCAAATCCATGATTCAGTTGGTAACCCTGACCTCACACTCCAATCTCACCCAGTAGTTCCTTCTCCAAAACTTTTTTTTTTTTTGTTATTATAAAGGTGATGTACAGAGCAGTTATAATTTCATAAGTCAGATAGAATACATTTCTTTTTGGACAATGTCACCCCTTCCTTCTCTCTCTCTCCTAATTTTCCCTCCCATCTCCACCCACAAGTTGTACAGTTTATTTTCAAAATAGTGTCTAGTGAGAACCACTGCTGCATTTGTTCACCCTTTGCTCTTCCATTTCTGTGCCCCTCTGGACTGTTTTTTAATTAAGAAAAAACTTGAGATAGGGAAGGGGTAGCCTGATATGTTGTGCAGGTTGGCCTCAAACTCCTAGGCTCAAGCAATCCTCTTGTCTCGGCCTCCAGGGTAGCTGGGACTACCAGTATGTGCCATCATACTTGGCTCCTCCCGAACTTTTTTAACTTGCAGTGCTGGGGATTGAACCTAGGGCCTCACATTTACTAGGTAAATGCTGTACCACTTAGTTGTATTCCAGGTCCTCTAAAAATTTTTTTTTAATGATTCATTCAGCTAGAAACCATAGGCAAAGATACAAAAATACTTCAGAATGCTACACAGAATTATTTTCCCTAAATATTTCCAAAGGTTTAATAAGACAATTTGTTTATAAGCTACAAACTTTTTCCTAGGCCTTGCCCCTAAAGGTTCACAAGGGTGAGAATTAGGAATGTAGCTAGTAAACATTCAAGGTATTGCTGTGTAGCCTAATTGCTCAGAGAGGAAGTATACCAAGAACATTGCAGCTGGTATGTGTCTGGTATAGGATGCAAAAACGTGAGAAGAGCTGAGAGTGTGGCTTAGTGGTAGACTGCTTGGCTAGAATGCATGAAGCCCTGGGTTTGATTCCTCAGTACCACATTAACAGAAAAACCTGGAAGTGGTGCTGTGGCTCAAGTGGTAAAGTGCTAGTCTTGAGCAAAAGAAGCTAAGGGATAGTACCCAGGCCCTGAGATCAAGTCCCAGGACTGACAACAACAACGAAAACAACCCAAAAAACAAAAAGAATGTGAGAGTCTTCTGAGATTAATAGATAGGCATCCTTAATATGGAACTCCAAAATCCAAAAATGCTTCTAATCTGAAACTTTTTGAGTGTTAGGAAACCACAGGTGGAAAACTCCATGGTATAGAACCTTTTTTTTTTTTTTTTTTGGGTCCGGTTGTGGGGCCTGAACTCTGGGCCTGGGCACTGTCCCTCAGCTCTTCAGCTCAAGGCTAGTGCTCTACCACTTGAGCCACAGTGCCACTTCCGGCTTTTTTCTTTTTGCTTATGTGGTGCTGAGGAATCGAACCCAGGGCCTCAGGCATACAAGGCAAGCGCTCTACCACTGAGCCACCTTCCCAGCCCAATGGTATAGAACATTGTTTCATGTGCCCAATTATTTTTAAACAAACTAACAACCAAACAAGTAAATAAGATGGGTGCTGGTGATTTCCGCCTGTAATCCTAGATACTTAGGATCCCGTTTGGAAGTCAGCCCAGAAAAGCTCAGAAAAGTCTGAGACTTTTATCTCCAGTTAATCAGCTAAAATCCAGATGTAGAGGTATGGCCCAAGTGGGAGAGCACCAACACTGAGCAAAAACAACTATCAGAGCACAAGACCTTGAGCTGAAGCATAATTAACCAATCAACAATCTTTAATAAAATATAATATTGTATCAAAGTACTCTCAGTCTATATAGGCAGTATAAATAAATTCTATGTTTATACTTACATTATACTCTAAGATAGATCATTATGTATGGCAAATATTCCAAAATCTTAATCCAAAATTTGGGACATTTCTGGCTTCAAATCATTTTAAATAAAACATATTTAACCTGTGATTCAGAGTTCATATCTTTATTAAATAGGTCATAGGTAACATGTAGTCTTACTGACTAATGGTTACATTGACATTCAACATTAAGGATATGTTGATTATCATTTTGGTTCATAGAGAAGCAAGTAATGGATATTTTTCACTTCTACATTCTATTTTTCTTTAGCATATTAAACTTTTGGTCTCTTACCTTGCATTTTAATAGTACATTACATTCACCAGTCACTTCCCAGCTCAAATACTCAGCAAAATGTGGACCTATAAAATTTTAATGATATAAGTAATCACATTATCAATCACAAATGAAAAATCAAAGTCATCCTAAGTGCTAAGGTGATTAATGATTGAAACTACAGATTCTGTTTACAGATATTTTAGTGGCTATATATTTAATAAAAACTATTTTTAATTGTTATTTATCAGCCATTAGGATAATCAATTCTGTTCATTGTAATTTGTGATACAAACAATATTGAAATATTTTATACAACAAATGAAAAGTTTCTTTTTAGTTGGCCTATTTTTACCTTGCTTCCTGATCCATTCTTGCCGCTGGAATTCTGCTTCTTTCTGGAGTTCTTTATAAACTAGAAATTGAAAAACAAGGTAGTATGAAATTGAGTTGAGCAGCAGAAATGCACATGTGAGCTAAATGGTTTCTATTCATTACTATAACATTATTCATTCATGGTAATGACCATTGTGTGTGTGTGTGTGTGTGTGTGTGTGTGTGTGTGCGCGCGCGCGCGCTTGCTGATCTGAGGTTTGAACTTGGGGTCTAGTTGCTGTTCTTGAGCTTTTGTTGCTCAAGGCTAGCACTCTTTTATTTGAGCCCAGCTCCATTTCTGACTTTTTGATAGATAATCTCACGGAATTTCTTACTAAGGTTGATTTTGAACCATGATCCTCAGATCTGAGTCTCCTGAGTAGCTAGGATTACAGGCATGTACCACCATCCTCTGGCTTTGCCTTGCTTTTTTGCCCATGAAGAAATAGGATTGAAAAGGTGAAAAAAAAACTTTGCCATGGTCATAAAATGAGGAAATAGTCATCATTACAGGATGTCACAAATGTAGAGATCTGGCAGCCTCTCCAATACTAAAGGCTACATTTAAGTTCTCTTGGTTTATGGAAGCCTATAATGACAACCTAGTTATAATGTATGATTAACAGATTTGGCTTGTAATACTAGTGCATGTTTTTCTTCTCAGTTCAGTAACTTAGAGTAAGTACACATTGTAAAACAGAATCATGGTTTATTCCTGAGACACATAATACAGTCTCAGTTCTATTATAATCTTTTTCACAGGAAAAGGTTAGTAGTAAGTACTGGCTTATATATGAGACTAGTCAGGTGCAGCCTTGCCAGAGGAATAGAAGTAAATTTGGTGTTCCGTGTGTGTGTGTGTGTGTGTGTGTGTGTGTGTGTGTGTGTGTGTGTGTGTGTGTGTGTAGTGGTCAAGATACTTGAACTCAGAGCATGAGTGCTGTCCTGAGCTTTTTCACTCAAGGCTGGTGCTCTACTACTTGAGTTACAGTGCCACTTTCAATTTTCTGGTGGTTAATTGGAGATAAAAGTCTCATGGTCTTTCCTGCTCTTGAATTGCAGTCCTCAGATCTCAGCCTCCTGAGTAGCTAGGATTACAGGTGTGAGCTACCTACCAGTGCTTGACTTGGTGTTCTTTTAAATTAATGTTCACTTCTGTGAAATGAAATATAGTGAAAAGCATTAACTAGGTATAGCATTTTGATCATAGGAATTTAAGTAAGAAACAATTCTTACTATCTTCCTCAGTATGCCTTTTATGTCATGTATTTTCACTGAAGCATGTATCAAAATGTTGTAGTTAATGTTTCTTGAAGTTCTTACCATCTCCAATGAGGACCAGAGTAGAATGACCAGTTGCTTTTCCATCTTGAATCTGGAAAGTATATGTTCCCTCATCCTCATCCTGTAGCTTTTCCATGAACATTTCAATTATGCCAGTGTTTCGGTCAATATGCATCTTGTATTTCTTCAATGTGAAAAGACAGAGATAGAGACATCAGTAAGGTAGGCATTTTACCTAGATAGTAATAATCTTAATAAAATAAAGACAAACTCCAAAGAAATATAACTTTAATATTTCTTCACGACTAAGCAAGTCCCTTAAAAATTTGTATGTGGTATACAACCTAGACCAGAATTTATTGAATAGGTTGAAGTTTAATTTCTTTAGTCTAAATAAAAATTCATTACCCTATATTACAAAATTCTATCAAAAAGTTGTCTTAGATTGCCATTTTATCTTCCAGATTATATTATTGTGTGTGTGTGTGTGTGTGTGTGTGTGTGTGTGTGTGTGTGTGTGTGTGTGTGCGCCACCCCTGGGGTTTGAACTCAGGGCCTAGGCACTGTCCCTAAGCTTTTTTGCTCAAGGCTAGCACTATAGCACCTGAGCTACAACTCCACTTTCAGCTTTTTGGTGGTTAATTAAAAATAAGAGTTTCACAGACTTTCCTGCTCGGTCTAGCTTTGAAATGCAATCCTATGTCTCAGTCTCCTCAGTAGCTAGGATTATAGGCATGAATGAGGTAGGTTACATTATGTTTAACTAGCAGAATAATATAAAATTATGCAGCTAGGGAGGAACATGTTCCTCACTGCTATATCTTCTGCATCTAACACTGTATGGTAAATAAATAGTAGGAAATTAGTAAATTACCTGCTAAATTAAGATGTGAATAAAAGTGCTTTAAAAGGCTTTGAAATCTACTTACTCTTAATGAACTGAAATAGCCCTATTAGACTCTTTTTATTTTATTGCTTTGTTTAACCACGCTTTTATTTTTTAGCATGTAAAGATAAACCTTAGTCCTTGGGGATATAGGCACAAATTCTATAGCAATTCTGAATTGATTAAGGGTTTTTGTTTTTGTTTTTTGCTGGTCCTGGAGCTTGAACTCAGGGGCCTGAGCACTGTCCTTGAGCCACTCTGTGCTCAAGGCTAGTGCTCTACCACTTGAGCCACAGTACCACTTCTGGCCTTTTCTGTTTATGTGGTACTGAGAAATCGAATGAAGGACTTCATGCATGCTAGACAAGCACTCTACCGCTAAGCCACATTCCCAGTCCACTTGATTAAGTTTTGCTATAAAACATATCATGGAATGAAGGCTCAAATCATGGAGCAACTCTATCCCAATTCTTATACTCTATAGCCTCTTTTGCAGGAAGCTAGTATCCAATTGAGGCCAATATTTTATTAGCTTTCTTCTAGTTTAGCTTGCTTCTTCCTCTACCCCCACCCAGTTTCTCCTCAGAGAAATGCCCAGTAAACCACGAACAAAAAACTCTCATATTCTCTTTATAAGGATCCTGATGTAATATTTTAAAAATATCATTCAATGAACGGGAAGCACAGAAATGGTGAGACAAGGGGTGAACAAATGCAACAATGATCCTCAATAGACACTGTTGAAAGATGAACTATCCAACTTGTGGGGGCGGAGAGTGGAGAGGAAAAATCTGGGAGAAAACAAGGGAAGAGGGGACACTGTTCACAAAGAAAAGTGTTCATTACCTGACCTACGTAACTGTAGCCCCTCTGTACATTACTTTTACAATAAAAATAAATGAAATGCATTTTTTCAAAAATCGCTCAAAGAAAAGAGAAAGAGGTGCTAAAAAATCCAAGTCACTCCTGCTCACCCTTTCAGCTTCTCATTCACACCCATGACAGTATAGGGGAGGATCAGGCCTCCTGAAGCCCAGTTCTTCACACCACTTGAGCACTGGCTCAAATATGTCTTTTATGATATCTATGGGAGGAGAAATGAAGCGCAGATGCTGTAGCTTTATGTATAAAAATTGTTTGTATTAAAAGCAAATGAATAGCTCAATAGCTATGTACATATGTCCATGTAAGATGAGGTTAACCAAAATGAACCCCAAGATAAGGACATAAGAAATTTCTTTGTTGTTGTTGTTAATGTACTATGTGATTTCTTTTGTGTGCTTTCTCCCCTTATGGATTATCCCCTGCTGTCACTGTATCTGATTTTGGTACTCTGGGTATGGTATATACGTTAATCTGAATTAGGGAAGGGAAGAGGAATAACAAAATGGTGAGACAAAGGACAAAGAGGGAACCAATGTAACAGAGGTACTCACAAGACAACATGTTGGAAATGATCTGTACAAATTGGGGGGAGATTGGGAGAGAGGGAAAGTGGGAGAAAAATGAGGGAGGGGATAACAAGTTGGATAAGAAATGTACTCACTACCTTACTTATGTAACCCCTCTGTACATCACCTTGACAATTTAAAAAAGGAAGAAAAACAGAAAATGGTGAGGCAAAGGACAGAAGGGAACCAATGCAACAGTGATACTCACAAGATAGTATGTTGGAAATGAATTGTACAACTGGGGGGACGCGGAGGGGGAAAAGGAAAGTGGGAGAAAAATGAGGGAGGGGGTAACAAGTTCGACAAAATTATACTTACTACCTTACTTATGTAATTGTAACCCCTCTGTACATCACCTTGACAATAAAATTTTTTAAAAAGCCAAAATAAAGCAAATGGAATAGCATTCTATAATCCATACTTACAGAGATAAGACAGCCAATGAAAATAACACACACACACACACAAACACACACACACACACACACACACACACACAACACACAAAATCCTATTTAAGTCCAAAAGTAAATACAATTTTGCATCTCAAGTTGTAAGAATGTGTGTTTTGTCCTTTTTGTACCTTCATAGTTGTGTGCAATAAGGACATACTGTATTTTAAACCAGAAAGGCCACAACAAAGGTTCTCACTGTATTTTTCTGAGCTGCTAGAACAAAAGGTCTGTTTTCTTCATGTAAGTGTCATGTCTGTTGGGAGTGTCAATGTGAATAGCCTTCATCTCTTTTAACAATACATTAAAAAAAAACAAACCATTTGTTTATGCAATAAACACAGCTATTGACAAAACAAAAAAACAAACCAAAACTGTGCTTTTTGAGAGGATATGAAGTATTTTCCGTTATTTACCAAGCAGTGAGAAGTTGTGAATTCACGCAAGGGTGTCTTCACCTGCCCAGGCAAAAGCAGCTCTGTATTCAGGGGTGATCGTATTTCTTTTTTTCGGGGGGGGGGGGTGTCCGGTTGTGGGGCCTGAACTCTGGGTCTGGGCGCTGTCCCTCAGCTCTTCAGCTCAAGGCTAGCGCTCTACCACTTGAGCCACAGCGCCACTTCCGGCTTTTTTCTTTTTGCTTATGTGGTGCTGAGGAATCGAACCCACGGCCTCAGGCATGCAAGGCAAGTGCTCTACCACTGAGCCATCTTCCCAGCCCCGAGTGATCAGATTTCTGAGTTTGCCTGAATAGTTTTAGTTTATGACTGCTGTCTGGAATTTTTTTAAATAGCACCCCTTTTCATTCTCCAAAGTGTTCTGGTTTAGGTAATACAATATAATCAATCTCTATTTTCCTGTTGCAGTTTTACATGCGAGAATAATTCCAATCCCACAATCTTCTGCCCAGCAGTTCTCATCCCAACAGAAAGAAAATGAAAAATTATAAGACCTACCGGCCCCTCAAAAATTTCCTTTTCATTAAATATGTAGTTGACTTTGGCATTGCCTGACAGCTTCTCAGCCTGCATCCAAAACCGGACCTGACCTTTCTCCAAAATTTCAACTGCCAACTCTGATTTAGATGGAACAGCTGTGGAAAATAAAAACAAACATAGTAAGTAATTATACTGCTAGGCATTTGTATTGGTATGGATTTCCAGCAAGTAAAAAGACCATTAGGGAAAAAGGTGACCAAGTCCTGTGCTTCTTGGGATATAAGACCTAGGTCATTTGTCTCTGAATTACAGTCATGTAAAAATGAGAAGGGTGAATTTCCCCCTAAAGGCAAGTTAGGTGTAGTACTGGGAGTTGAATCTGACTTTTTGTTTGCCTACCACTTGAGCCAGGCCTCCTGCCCTTTACTATATGCTGAGTAACTGGGATTATAGGCATCACACCTAACCTTCTAGAGGTACTTCTAGCTAACAGCTTTGGTTTGGTTAGGGTTCTTCAAGGGAGATAATAAGATATGTCGGAAATAGTCTGAGATGGCCCCGTATATCTGGTTTAATTTGAAGTCTGCTATAACAAATGAAGTGCCATTAGGTAAGTTATTTTGAGTCCTTAGCCCTCACTGACTTGTCTATAAATAATTGAATTAAAATAAGCATGTGGATTAGCCAAGACATTTTCCAGCTATAAGAACTAAGGTTTAGGGTCTGGGAAGGTGGCTCAGTGGTAGAGCGCTTGCCTTGCATGCCTGAGGCCCTAGGTTCGATTCCTCAGCACCACATAAGCAAAAAGAAAAAAGCCGGAAGTGGCACTGTGGCTCAAGTGGTAATTGCATTTTGTTTCATTTCAAATAATTTTAACTCAATTTAGTTTCTTCCAAGTGTTTTTTTAAAATCCTTTTTTATCTTTTGGTACTAGAGTTTGAACCTAGGGCCTTATACAAGCTACTAGGCAAGTACTCTACCACTTGCACCAACCGCCCCCCCCCCCCCCCCGCCCCGACCCTTTTACTTTATATTTTGGGTTCTTTTACATTGGATCTTGATCACTTTGACCAGATTGACCTTGATCTCTCTTTTTTTCCTGCCTCAGTCTCAATAGATTAAATCAGTCTTAAAAAGTGAATTAATTTTGGGTGGTAGAAGGTGTGTGTTGGTGAAAATAAGATGTGTTTTTAAATGTTTTATTAAATAAGATTAAAAATTAATTTTGACTCCACTATCAGCCCTACGTATCCACAAACCTATAGCCCTCCATATCACATCCATAAATTCAATCAACCATGGATAGAATATATTTTTAAAGTTGCATCAGTACTGAACATGTATAAGTTTTGTAATTATTCCCTAAATGATACAGTAGAACAATTATGTACATGGTATTGTATTATAAGTAATATATGGGTTATTTAAACATAAGGGAGAATGTGGGTACATTCTATACAAGTATTATGCCATTTTATTTCTTTGGGATTTTGGTTTCCATAAAGGGTCCTGGAACTAATACCCCATGGATACTGAGGGATGACTATATACTCAGGTTCATCATTTAAATCCTATCCATCCCAATGATATACTAACTGACTGTGATCCCAGGAACAAGCAAAATTCTTCAGAGGCAAACAAGTGAGTTACTATTGAGAAGTGATATTGAAATAGAGTATGGTTTTCTTCCCCCAGAAGAGGAATTGACATATGGTATCTGATCCACACCTGTGTTGTCTAAGCCATTTGAATTCCAGTGAAATTTTAAAAGTTGGCTGACATCAGGACTAGATTTTAAATCTCTTGGAACTTCCAGTGTTCTTTAGAATAGCTCCTCCAGTCATGGCTGTGTAAAGACAAGACTCCAGGGCACATTTGGTAGGAAAGCATGGCCCTTTCTCACTGATTAGTAGTCTTTAACTTTCTCTAGGGGAAATCACTGCCCTTCTTCTGAACTGTTCTAAAACTATTTCAAAAATTTGGTATGTACTGTATTTTCAATTATAAACTTTCTAAATGTGTACCAAATGTATAGCAATATTTTTGTAGTTATCCTAAATTTTTCCTTTTCAAGGTTCAAGGGATACCTTTCTTTTTCATTTTCCCCTATTCCACTATAAAAGTCGGTCATAGATTAATTTTTCTCCTGCTTCAGAATTGAAAAGAAACCCAGAAAACATCTACCAATTACTATTGAGGGATAAATGGTTTGGCTATAAAATGAACCTCACAGGCACATGTGTTGTACACATGATCCCAGTTGGCAATGCTATTTTGAGAACTTCTGGAAACTTTAGGAGGTGGGGGACTAGCTGGAGGAAGTAGGTCAATGGCAGCTTGTTATTGAAGGCTGTATCTTGTCCTGTGCCCACGTCTGTCTATCCCTCTCTGCTTCCTATCACTATAAGGTAAATAGCCTCTTCCTCTATACGCTTTAACCATGGTGAGTTCTGCTTCACCGTAAGTCCAGAGTCAAGGGAGCCAAGGACTATAGACTGAATCTTCTGAAATGATGAACCAAAATGAAAAGAATTCCTTCTCTTAAGTTGTTTTTGTCAGGTATTTGGCATATCAAACAGAACAGCCAACTGCTGCAGGAGTGCATAAGCTTTGGAGTTTACTATGATCTTGAATAGCTGCTGTCCTCTTAAATCAGTGTTTTCACATGCTAAGATGGATAGTATATACCTCACAATGCTATTAATATGAGTAACTATAGTAAGAATAAATTAAGATATTGTGAATAATGGTCACTGCTCAAGAAGTTTAGTTTTCTCCATCCCCACTTCAATTTTACTGATAAGAAAACTGAACCCAAGGATAAATCAAGGATATAGAATTGATTCCAGAGTTGTTCTCTCTGATAAGCACTAGTAGTTTCCAGTGTGAGTAGATCAGCTGAATAAAGATCCCAAGATAGCAAGAGCAGAGGGTAAAGTTTTTCCCTACAGGACATTTATGCTTGCTCTGTCTTGAGAAGTGTTGAATATCTATTCTAAAGTTGGGCACCGGTGACTCACACTTGTAATCCTAGCTACTCAGGAAGTTGAGATCTAAGGATTGAGGTTTGAAGCCAGTAAGGGAAGAAGTCTGTGAGACTCATCTCCAATTAACCAGCAAAAGCCAGAAGTAGAGGTATGGCTCACATGGTAGAACACCAGCCTTGAGCTAAGTGAGAACTCAAGACTTGCAGTTCAAGCCCTAGTGCCAGCATTAAATAAAAGTCTCTTCTAGAGAAGCCTGGATACCCCATTCTGAGGATGGCAGGACTGTAGACTAGAAGGGAAAGATGGATCCTTCTGAAAGGCTCCAGTTCCTATAACAGTCACTGACCTCCCTGAGTCATAAGCATATCTTCTGGGGTATAAAGGTGAGTCTGAGTGGTCACAGATGGCACAGAGCAAACATGGCAGGTGCACACGTAACAGTCCATGATGTGGTTAGGGGAACTGGCACTAGAGCAAGACCATTTACTCTTCACCAGCTGTATGGAATTGATTTAGTTACTTAACTTCCCAGGGTTTTATATTCTTCACCTCTAAAATAAGTCATCATAGTCCTGACACTTTCAAAGAAATTACAAAGTTCAAATGCATTCCATTTAGATGCCCTATAAGAGCTGGGAAGGTGGCTCAGTGGTAGTATGCTTGCCTTGCATGCATGAGGCCCTGGGTTCAATTTCACAGCACCACATAAGCAGAAAAAGCTTGAAGTGGTACTGTGGCTCAAGTGATAGAGCACTAGGCTTGAGCTGAAGAGCTGATGGACAGTGCCCAGGCCCAGAGTTCAGGCCCCAGATTGACAAATAAATAAATAAATAAATAAATAAATGCCCTAAGGATCCTGATACATAATAAGCACTTTAGAAATGTTGGTTGTCCATATTTGGGGTGGTGGGGGGCACACACATGCGTGTGCACAAATGTGCCAGTACTGTGGCTTGAACTTAGGGACTAGGGCTCTTGGTTGGCTTTTTCACTCACTGCTGAAACTCTACTCTTTGAGCCATACCTCCACTTCTGGCTTTTTGCTGGTTAACTGGAGATAAGAGTTGCATGGATTTGTCTACCCAGACTGATTTGAAACTTCAATTCTCAGATCTCAGTTTCCTGAGTAGCTAGGATAATAGACAGGACCCACTAGCTTCTGACTTGTTGGAGTTTTTTTCTTTCTGAGTTGCTTCAACAGTATCGTATAAATACCGAATGTCAAATACAATGCGTTGCCAACTAAAAGGATGTACCAATACATCTATGTTTACGTATATACTTTGTGTCAATCTAAGGACATATTATCTGTGTAGGTAGTAATAATGAATGTCTACAAACAAAGAGAGATTACACAGGATGTTGGTAATACTGAAATGTACTCTCCACCCTCAGATGAGCAACATAGCATTAACACTGGCAAGGCAGGCTAAATTATTTTCTATGTTTAGCTTTATGCCCTTGATCTTTTTATTCATATTTAAATTTTCTGCTCTGGAAGTTAATTTGCTTCTGGAAAACTATGTTATTTGTAGGTTTAAGGCATGTACTTAAATATTTCAAAAATATTTTGAAACCACTTTAACAGAGAGGAATTTTTGGTGCCAAAAGATAAAGGAAAATCATACTCTTTCTGATATTCTGTAAGAAATGAGACCATTCAAAACTTATTAATCAAGAAAAGGACTTAATTAACATAGCAGGCTTGATTGACAGTGAGTATAAATTGAGAAACCAGAAGTTGATTCTATCTGCAGATCTCTGAAAATATTCCTAGTGAAAGAAAGTTCATATAGAGAAGAAAAGTACCAGAACTTAAAATAATTAAAATGCTGCTTCAGTGGGCTTTCAAACTTTCCACTAGGTTGGGAGTTTTAATCATATTTTTGTGTTCCTGCTCAGTGTTTACTAAGCTGGTACATACAGCAGTAGGTCACAAATCCCAAATACTTAAGTTTGCTGCACCAACAATTAGAGTCTTCAAGCTTGGGCAAGATAAAATATCTCAAAGTATACTAGTTATTACAAATAAGGGAAACCATGGGACCTATGTTTCTTTGGGCCTGGCTTACTTCACTTAATATAATTTTTTTCCAAGTCTTTCCATTTCCTAACAAATGGGGCAATGTCATTCTTTCTGTTGGAGGCATAAAATTCCATTGTGTATATATATACCACATTTTCTTGATCCATTCATCCACTGAGGGGCATCTGGGTTGGTTCCATATCTTAGCTATGGTAAATAATGCTGCAATAAACATAGTCGTGCTGGTAGCTTTAGTGTGGTCTTGTTTATGATCATTTGGATAAATGCCCAAAAGTGGGATTGGTGGGTCATAGGGGAGCTCTATGTGAAGTCTTTTGAGCACCCTCCATACTGCTTTCCAAAGTGGTTGAACAAGTTAACACTCCCACCAACAATGCAGTAAGGTTCCCTGCTGTACACATCCCCTCCAGCATCTGTTGTTATTTGATGTTGGTATAATTTTTGGAGGGGAAGGGAAAAAACAAATAGTTTAAATAGGGATACAGGTGGACCCATTGCAACAATGAGATGTACAAGTCGTTATGTCGAAAAATGAACTTTACGGGCTCGGAAGGTGGCTCAGTGGTAGAGCGCTTGCTTTGCATGCATGAGGCCCTTGGTTCGATTCCCCAGCACCACATAAGCAAAAAGAAAAAAAGCTGGAAATGGCACTGTGGCTCAAGTGGTAGAGCACTAGCCTTGAGCTAAAGAGCTGAGGGACAGCACCCAGGCCCAGAGTTCAGGCCTCAAGACCAGACCCCCCACCAAAAAAAAAAAAAAAAAGAAAAATGAACTTTACTACTTTGGTGGGGGGGCGGATTAGGTAGGAGGGGTGGGGGGATGGGAAGGGATGGGAAGGGGAAACAAAGGAGGAGGCTACAATGCTTGATAAGAAATGTACTCATTATCTTGCCCATGTAACTGTAACCCCTCTGTACAGTATTTTCACAATAAAAAAAGAAATATCAAGAAAAAAAATCTTAAAGTAAGTAACAGTGACAATCATCAGTTATAACTGCCTTATTTCCATCTCCACGTTCAGATGATCATTGAACTCTGTTCAATGACTCTCCCTCTGGGAAGGCCCAGGCAACTTGAATACAACAGTGACACTGTCTTGACTTCTCTCATCCTCAGCCTTTAAGCTGAATGTAAATGTTATTGTGGAGAGGGCATTGCCTAAGTACTTAACCAATATTTATTGTCTGACTAACTAAGTTAGTAGATGCTGCTGTTTCTCTCCATTTCTACCATTATTTGGGAGTAGATAATACAAATATTCTACATGGTTTGGAGACAGCATTGTATTAGGTGTTGTAAACTTACAAGTGCCATTTCTGGAAAAGACACAAAGGCACAGGGAAATGGAAGTGAGCTTCTCAGTTCACAGGATAAGCTGAAACTTATAGCACAGAGTCTCCAGGGAAATCTCCATCTTCCCACACAGCATTTCAAAGTTAACTTTTGAAACATCACTTGTGATACTGTTTTTCCAGTTGAATGGTGAATAGTCATACAGATGAAAATAGCTTGCCTAATGCCACATGGTAGGTTTTCTCTTAGGTCTCAGAAGTGTACACCTACACATTCAACCCCCCCATAGGTACTACACAGTGCTGCAACATCCAAACTCACTATCAACCAATCATTTCTGGGTAGGTAAGAAAAACTAGCTTCTACAGCAGTATTTTTAAAAATCACAACCTCCACTGACAATTTAGGGAGATCTCTAAATCCTCTCCCCAGGAAAGAAAAGTCCATATACAAATATATAAAATTTTGTCCATAGTCTAGAATAGGGATATAAGTTGTGCTCTTTTGCTTATTTCCTGTTTTTGAGTTGTTTTTATTTTTTGTTACTGATGATTAAACTCAGGGCTTCATACTTGTTAGGCAAGGGAAAATACTATATTAATGAAAAAATAGTTAAGTATTTAGGAATTCCTTTAAATACTTAATTTAAGAGGCTTTTTTAAACCACTTCCAATTTATTTTCTCAAATTCTAGGCTGTGTTTTTCTGGTTACTTCACTAGTTTGACCATCGGATAAAAGATCCTATCAGGCCAATGGAACCTTTCGAGTGTTATTTCAGACTTCTTTCTCTTTCTTTAGGTGTCAATTGTTCAGTTTAATCTTTTATACAAAAGTTGCTTTATTTATCGGGTTATAAATAGTTCAGAAGGATTCTATTTCTTAGATCTCCTTACCCTATTTTCCAAGTGTTTAAAATCTTAGGTACTGTCTTTAGATTACCTTTATTTAGAGGGATGATTCTTCTATCAAGGGCTAATTTTACTTAAGAAGGGGTGTGTGTGTGTGTGTGTGTGTGTGTGTGTGTGTGTGTGTAATTTCAAAATATGTAAGCAACAAAGGAAGAACTTCATAACTCAGATGTTATACCTATGTATCCTGGCACCTCTCTGTACAATACTGAAGGATGAGGATATTTTTCTATATTATCTTAGTTTCTCTAGAGAACAAAGGCCAAGAAAAGAAGAACTTCTAGAAAGTGCTTCTGTAGCACTGATAGGCAATCCATTACAAGTTTCTAAGAGTTTTTCTATTGATCTTGTCAAAGCTGTCACCTGATGTACTATAGAAGTTACCCCACAGTAAGATTGCTAAAAATACGTGAATGTATTATGGCCACTTACTTGGGAACTTGTGTTCCTGGCTGAGAGCAAGCAAACGTTTCATTTCTGTAGGGAGAAAAGAGAACAATTACACTCTAACCTGTTAAAACAAATGGTCCTTAAGAACAGCAGATAAACCAAAGCAATATCATACTTGTTAGGGCAAAGGTTTTAAACATACCTGCTTCATCGAGTAGGTAGCTTGATGCTATTCCATCAGTGTCTGTTACATCGCAAGAGTAAATGCCCAAGTCATCGGTCCCGAGGTCTTTGAAAGTCAGTTTTGTCCTGGAGAACAATTTTTTTTCTTAGAAATAAAGCTGTACTGGGTCTAGAAAACTGTCACTGGCTATACCTCTAGGCACCCACAGGCAGGACTCCTTTCATTTGGGATGCTTGTCCTCTGCTCCTGCTGAGCAAAGCCTGCCCATTCTTGTTATCTCAAGATAAATGTCTTTTCTACTAGAAAGACTGTCCTGCTTCTTCCCAGGGGATGATGGTGATGGGAAGGGGCTGATAAAAGTTCCTGATCTACAAACCATGTTATATATTAACACACATCAGGCACAAAGGTATTTGGCTTGTTAGCCCTTGCTGAGGAGCCTAGATTTTTATCCTATAGGGCAAAATGTGCTCTACCTCTCTTTGGGTTCTTCTTCACTCTTATTCTCTACACTTCCCTTTTCAGAAGTGATTATATACCACTGAGATTATCCCCAATGTACAATTACTGTGCTGTCAAAGATGTTTTCCTTTGTGCTTTGTTGCATCTCTACCACACTGGACCTTGTATAACACATAACTTGTGTCATGAATAAGTGATAGGTTATTAGTCAAGTTCATTGTGTTTTCTAACTTTGGCAACTTTTATCACTAGTTAATGGCTAATATCAACTATACATTTGGATGCTAAGTCCACAAACTACAAGAAAGTTTATAGTTTGACTGTGTTTTCTTTAAGAAAATGTGTTGTACCACAAGACCTTTGGAAGGTATTTTAAAAAAGATTTTTATTTTTAAGATTTATAGTGAGTTGAAGGTTTCATAATGCTAGCTATAAAATACTTGCGACTTTATCCTCTTATTGTAAGAAAAGTAAGCAGAAATGAGTGAGTTTACTTCATGCTCCTACAATGGGAAGGACACCTGTTAGGATAGAAATAATCTTACTTGTTGCCTTTGCTTTCCACTTCTAATCGTGCAGAATCCTCAGTAGATACATAATCTTTGGACCAAGTGAATTCTGACTTTGGAGTCATCTGATCACATTCAAAGTTCAATGAAATAACTCCATCATCATCCACATTTACAACCACCTCTTTGGTTCCTAGAAGATAAAAAAAAAAGTCTCTGATACATTGCAGTAGAAATCAACCAAGTTGATTGATTGATTTGGAAAGCATCCCCAACTTTGGGATGCTTTACTTAAGCTTTAAAGCAAGGCATTGTGATTAGGTAAGGGGAAAGACATAACTGCTCAGTACAGGACTAAGAAAAAAAAGTTTAAATAAGGATACAGGTTGACCCATTGTAACAATAAGATGTACAAAACACTACGTTGAAAACGAACTTTACAACTTTGACAAGGCGGGGCAGGGGAGTAGTTGTGAAGGTGGGAGGGCAGAGATGGTAGGAGGAAAACAAAAGAGGAGGCAACAATGCTCAATAGGAAATGTACTCATTACCTTGCTCGTGTAACTGTAACCCCTCTGTACAGCATTTTTACAATAAAATCATACCAAAAATTGGTATTATGATAATACAGTTGTGAGAAGGGACTGATGGTAATCAAGGGGCATGGCAGTGTTGGGAATGTCCCTTATCAGGCCTTACTTCATAACTCTACTTCAATAATGCCCATACCCAGTCAGTCATTAGGAAGGAATAGAAAGAGATTAAAGAAACCAGATGGAATTTGAAGGAGGAAAATAGAACAGAATTGACTGTATTCACACATTTAAGTTTGTGTTATTTTAAAAAGAGAAAACTATACAGAAACTTTGTTAGAATGACAACAATCTTAAAAAGACTGTTATGGAACTACATGGAAATGAGCTAAAGTGATAGGCTGTGTTTCAAGAAGATAGGTTTGGGGATTTTAAAAAGAAAATTCGTTAATGTATTCAGTTATTTTATTTTTGAGGTTTACAATAAATTGCATCTGTAGCAATTACAGCAATTCATAGAGAGTACAACTTACGAAACATTCACAGCATGTCTAACTTCAGTAGGACAAAAACTAACTGTACTATCAAATTTGTACTCATTCAGTTGCCAGCCTAAACCTGGTTTATTTCAGTATATTAGGAAAATTGTATTTAGTCTCAGAAAGGTATAGCTTTAATTACGAAAAAACATTAAAGAAACCTTCCCATAGATTTTTCCCAGTGGAATGATGTTTTCTCTGTAGATTGTAGAGTAAGGTCCAACATCCTGTCCTAGTGCTCAATAAAACTTATCAGAAAGGAAAAAAAGATAAAAAGCCTTCCTAGGGCCGGGCGCTGTTGGCTCACGCCTGTAATCCTAGCTACTCAGGAGGCTGAGATCTGAGGATCACGGTTCAAAGCCAGCCCGGGCAGGAAAGACTGTGAGACTCCTATCTCCAATAAACCACCAGAAAACCGGAAGTGGCGCTGTAGCTCAAGTGGTAGAGCGCTCGCCTTGAGCTGACGAGCTGAAGGACAGCACCCAGGCCCAGAGTTCAAGCCCCACGACCGACCAAAAAAAAAAAAAGCCCTCCTAGGGAGGGTCCAAGAAAAAACATGTACACAGAGAGTGAGTGGCATAAGGCTCTTGGTTCCTGAGTCAAACAGTTGACCTAATTTGTATTCTTACTGATGGTAGTGTGTACTTCACACACACATACATACACACACATAATAAATATATATGAATATATATTATCAATATATATCCAAATATATATAGATTCAAAAAGTGACTATTAGCATATATAAAGTTTAGAAAGGCTTTTTGTTTTGTGGTCAGTCATGGGGCTTGAACTCTGGACCTGAGTGCTGTCCTGCACTCTTCAGCTCAAGGTGAGTGCTCTAATGCTTGAGCCACAGAGCCACTTCTGGTTTTCTAGTGGTTTATTGGAGATAAGAGTCTCCTTCTTTCCTCTTTAGAGAAGTTTCTCTGTAAGTCTTCAAAAGACTCCACCTAGAGTTGCCCTATGACCCAGCAATCCCACTTTTGGGCATTTACTCAAATGATCACAAACAAGACAATACTAAAGGTACCAGCACAACTATGTTTATTGCAGCATTATTTATCATAGCTAAGATATGGAACCAACCCAGATGCCCCTCAGTAGATGAATGGATCAAGAAAATATGGTATATATACACAATGGAATTCTATGCCTCCATCAGAAAGAATGACATTGCCCCATTTGTTAGGAAATGGAAAGACTTGAAAAAAAATTATAGTAAGTGAATTAAGCCAGGCCCAAAGAATCATAAATCCCATGGTTTCCCTTATTTGCATTAACTAGTATATGTCTGAGACAAGCAGAAAAAGTCAGATAAGTTGATGTTAGGTGACATGAACACCAAGATAAGTATTCAAATGTTTTATCTTTCTTGTGATTGTTTCTAACATATTTATAAGATGATTTCTTTGTTGCTTTGTATGTCCCTCCCCCACGGTATAACTCCTGCTTTTATTGTATTTGATGTTGGTATAATTTGTGGAGGGGAAGGGAAAAAACAAATCATTTTAATAGGGATACAGGTAGACCTATTGCAAAAATGAGATGTACAAGTCGTTATGTCAAAAAATGAATTTTACAACTTTGGCAGAAGAAGGGGTGTGGGGATGGGAAGGGATGGGAAGGGGAAACAAAGGAGGAGGCAACAATGCTTGATAAGAAATGCACTCATTACCTTGCCCATGTAACTGTAACCTCTCAGTACAGTATTTTCACAAACCCACGGTATAATCCCTGTTCTCAATGTATTTGATGTTGTATAATTTGAGGAAGGGAAGGGCAAAAACAAACCGTTTAAATAGGGATACAGGTGGACCCATTGCAACAATGAGATGTACAAATAGTTATGTCGAAAAATGAACTTTACAGCTTTGGGGGGAGGGCAGGGTGGGGAAGGCTGGGAAGGGATGGGAAGGGGAAACAAAGGAGGAGGCAACAATGCTTGATAAGAAATGTACTCATTATCTTGCCCATGTAATTGTAACCCCTCTGTACAGTATTTTCACAATAAAAAAAAAGAGTCTCATGGAGTTTCATGCAGGGGCTGGCTTTGAACCATGATCCTCAGATCTCAGCCTCCTGAGTAGCTAGGATTACAGGCTTGAGCAACCGGCACTCTGACTTAGAAAGAATTTTTTTTTAATGAAATTTTAAAACATCTTTTTGTGGTTTCAGTCCTGGAGCTTGAATGTAAGGTCTAGGCTCTGTCCCTGAGCTTTTTTAATCAAGGCTAGCACTCTATCACTTGAGCCAGAGCACCACTTCCGGCTTTGTTGTGGTTAATTGGAGGTAAAAGTCTCATGGACTTGCCTGCTAGGGCTTCAAATTGTAATGCTTGGATCTCAGCTTCCTGAGTAGTTGGAATTACAGGTGAAAGCCCTTGGTGCTGGGCTAAAACTTCTTCTTCTTTTTTTTTTTTTGTCAGTGATGGGGCTTGAAATCCCGACCTGGGTTCTTTCCCTGAGCTTTTTTGCTCATAGTGCTCTACCACTTCAAGCACAGCTCCACTTAATGTTTCCTGGTGTTTAATTGGAGATAAGAATATCATAGACTTTCCTGCTGGGCTAGTTTTGAACTGGATCCTTAAATCTCAGCTTCCTTTGTAGCTAGGATTACAGGAGTGAGCCACCAGTGCCTGGCTTTTTCTTTTAAACTCCACCCCACTTTTGTAACATCAATAGTGAAAAAAATGCTCTTATTAAAACTTAAGACTGACACTGAAATGTTTAGGCTTAGATGATGTTATAATACACAGTTTGCATGAGTCATTGTGAAAATATAAATTGTAAACTATTTGTATATTTATATTGTTATGAAGAGGCAAGAAGAAGTGAGGGGTGTCAACAGAATCTGTCTTTTTTTATACAGTATCTATTTTGGAAGTATGACCAATTGCTCTTATTAATTACACATTGCTTTACCTTCGGTCCTTTTTTTTTATTTTTTTTGGTTGTGGGGCCTGAACTCTGGGCCTGGGCACTGTCCCTCAGCTCTTCAGCTCAAGGCTAGCGCTCTGCCATTTGAGCCACAGTGCCACTTCTGGCTTTTTCTGCTTATGTGGTGCTGGGAATTGAACCCAGAGCTTCATGCATGCAAGGTAAACACTCTACCACTGAGCCACTTTCCCAGCCCCTTGGTCCTTTTTTAAAAAAAGAGGAAGTGAATCATTCAAATGTTTGTTATTTATTTATTATGGTGAAAAAAAGACTAAAAGCAGGTGGTTATTTTAAGAATCTTGATTTTTTTTTTCTGACATTAAAAATTAGACTTTTCTGCAATGGACTTATACCATTAAAAGCATATGACCAGTTCTATTTACTTCGCCTTTCCCTCAGTTCTGTAGATGATCTTTGTAGTCTAACACTTCACCCATTTGGAACCTTGCCCCAGTTCAAGAAGTAAGAAAACACAGCTCTCTGAGAGCCAGTATTGATTGCCAAAACCCACTTCCTAGTGTCCTGCACACACACACTGGAGAATTCCACAGACTGCCACATGGAAGGTATTTATACTCCACTTGAGAGAATTCTAGCAAGCTATGTTGGTTGGCTTCTCTCAGTAGATCAAAGTGAAGAAAAGGGATGAAGCTACTTTCAGCAGGCTCTCTGAAAGTAAGGAAAACCACAGCCAGAGAAGAAGGAAAACTCAAAAGCAGACATAAGGCATTATTTAATATAGGAGCATACAGCTCCCCACCTTCCTGATGACATCGTATATTGCTAACAGTACCATAAATAAGGTTGGTACTTATGCGTCACAGAGAAAAGGGTAAAGAAGATTCAGTATATTGTATCTAAGAATATTGAAAATGATGTGATATATATATATAATATATAAAACATTCTTAGAAAGGATTGCATCAAAGGCTTAAAACAAAATTTTAAATATTCAGTAAACTTGGAGGTTAATAGAACAATTGAATATTTAAAACAATAATTTGTTCAAGTTTTTTTTTTCCACATTTTGTTTGTGTTTTTGGTTTTGATGCTGGAGATCAAACTCAAAGCACTTTTTTGAGTGGCCAGATTTGGCCTCAAACCCATATGACCTGTGATCTTTAGTGAAAATATGAACTGAAATGAAAGATGTTATTTTCCTTATTAATAAAGAATGTT